GGTGTTTTTTTTTATAATATTTTTCAACCATATATATATATGAATCAAGTAAGATATTCTTTTGCATTTTGGTAAATTGAGAATTGTTTTGCTTTCTCTTTGCAGTTTGGCTGCAATGTGCTGTTGCTGCGTTTTGGATTGTGTCTTCTAGGGATTGATCTCTTTGTCTTTTGATTCTTGGTGCTTTTGCAAATTCTTTGTTATTCTGATTATGTTCTGAGGTATCTATTACGTTTTGATTCTTGTATTGTAGTTACATTCTTTTGCTTTTGTACTGAATAAAATTCGATAGTTAGTTAATTATATATTTGCCCGTTTTGTGTATTTACCTTGCAACTTGCGGCAGTGATCAAACTATATAGAGAAAACCTACAAAAGAAGAATCTAAATATGAGAATGAGAATTCATTAATTTATAATGATGTGACATTTCATCTTTGTTTTACATATGAAATTACTTTATAGCTCCGAGTGTAAAAAKAAATYAAASCTATACTTTGCAAAATCAAGAGAAGAAATGAAACRCAATGTGAGAAAAGACAACCAGTGATATTTCTGCAAAGAAGTGATTGAGATCTCAGCAGGGTTCTGTTATACGTTGAAGCGGAAAAGCATCACATCTCCTTCTTTGACAATGTACTTTTTACCCTSTGATCTCAACTGCAAAACAAATCAAATTTTCAAGAAAACTACCGAGTGAGAAAGTGAACCATGAGATATTTCGTTATGCGAAGTAGCTCGATCAATCTATGGACAAGACAAGTAAACTCACAAGTCCTTTCTTTCTTGCTGCGGCAAGAGACCCAGCAGTGACAAAGTCGTCATATGAAACCTGAACGAAAAGCCGATGGAGATGAAAGCAAATWCTAGACAGTTGAAGCTTTCAATTTCCAATTTTCATGAGCATGAGGTCATGTTCAGAAGAGGGAGTATAACTAATTACAGATGAGATTCATTAAGAGAATGAAAATGCTRACAGTCTCAGCTCTAATAAAACCCCTTTTCAAAGTCAGAGTGAATGACACCAGCAGCTTGTGGTGCAGTCATGCCTGTATGTATCAACATAAATTTCTCATATTCCTCGGAAAATAAAAAAGTGTTAAGACTGTAAGCATTTTCATTCTCTTAATGAATCTCATCTGTAATTAGTTATACTCTGAACATGACGTCTCATGGTCATGAAAATTGGGAATTGAAAGCTTCAAGTGTCTAGTATTTGCTTTCATCTCTATCGGTTTTTCGTTCAGGTTGCATATGATGACTTTGTCTCTGCTGGATCTCTTGCCGCAGCTAGAGAGAAAGGACTTGTGAGTTTCCTTCTCATGTCCATTAGTTGAGCGAGCTGCTTCGTCATATGAAATATCTCTCATTCTGTTTCTCACTCGGTAATTTTTGTGGAATTGATTTGTTTTGCAGTTGAGATCAGAGGGTAAAGAGTATATTGTTAAAGAAGGAGATTTGATGCTTTTCCACTTCAACGTATAACAGAACCCTGCCGAGTGGTGAGATCTCAATCACTTCTTTTCAGAACAATAAAGCTTGTGTTTTTCGGCACGGTCTTTTCTAACACTGAGTTTCATTTCTTATCTTGATTTTGCAATATATATAGTTATTGGTATATCTTTCTTTTGAATTTTCACACTCGGAGCTAGAAAGTAATTTCATATGTGAAGCCAAGATTCTTCCTGGGGTTGGCAAAACTCTGAATAGAGACCAATCATTATAGTGAATCTCACATTCCTTTCTGAGTTTTCTCTCTCTAAATAATTTGGCTGAAATAATAGTTCTGACTGCCGCAAGATGCAAGAACTTCAATTTGGTTTTTATTTTTATGATACACAAAACGGTCAAATAACTAACTTTAAAATTTATTCAGTACAAAAGCAAAAGAATGTAATTACAATACAAAAACCAAACGTAACAGAAACTGCAGAACATAATCAGAATAATAAAGAATTTGTTTTAAAAAAAAAATATCAAGAATCAAGACAAAGAGATCAATCCCGCAATCCAAAACGCAGCATAACAACATTGGTCCGATTAATTAATTATATGACGTTAAACTAACCTTAACATACATATATATCAATGAGATTTGTATTATATATGTATGAAGAATGACTCACCTTGTTGCTGAGCCATTTATGTATGTATAATGGAGTTAGGAGAAGTGAAGATGAATGATATTTTTGGAATTGGTATTGATTTTTGGAAGGCCTTTGTATTTATACATTTCTGATTTGCCTGTTGGTGGAAACTTGCGGTTTCTCAACGACTAAACGACGACGTAACGCGTTATC